GACCCACGGCAGCCCAGCTCCAGGTTGAGCTGTTGTTCAGCATCTTAGCTGTAGAGAGCAGTGTCACTGGCCCTCGTATGTGGGATCCAAACCGGGGCCCTCCGGCATCCCAAGCGAGCTCTCAACCTTCGCGCCACTTGGGGCTGGCCCTCTTTGTCTGTCTTTTGATTCTAAAGATAGCTTTGCTGGGTAGAGTAATCTTGGCTGTGGGTCCTTGCTTTTTGTCACTTTGAATATTTTGTGCCAATCCCTTCTGGCCTGCAAAGTTTCTGTTGAGGGGGTAGCTCCTTTGTAGAAACTAATTGCTTTTCTCTGGATAGATTTAAGATTTTCTCTTTGTCTTTAACCTTTGACATTTTAATTATGATGTGTCTTGATGTGGGCCTCTTTGGGTTCATCTTATTTGGGACTCCATGCTTTCTGAGCTTGTTTTCCAGGTTAAGGCAGTTCTCAGTCATTATATTTTCAAATAGGTTTTGAATTTCTTGTTCTCTTTCTTTTTCTTCTGGTACCCCTGTGATGCAAATGTTGTTACACTTGATGTTGTCCAGAAGCACCTTAAACTCTCCTCATTTTTTTGGATTTTTCTTTTTTCTCTTATTGCTGTTCTGATTGGGTGTTTGCTGGTACCTTATCTTCTAGATCGCTGATTTGATCCTCTGCTTCGTCTAATCTACTGTTGATTTCCTCTAATATATTCTTCATTTCAGTTATTGTAGCCTTTACTTCTGACTGGTTCTTGTTTATGTTTTCTATCTCCAGTTTTATGCTTCCTGTCTCTTTAAGTTCTCCATGAGATCAGTGAGCATCCTTATAGCCACTGTTTGGAACTCTGTGTCTGGTAGATTTCTTGTCTCCATTTTTCTAATTCTTTTTCCAGAGTTTGTTTTGTTCTTTTATTTGGAGAACATAATATTTCTTTGCCTCCCTATTTTGGCTGCCTGCCTCTGTTTGTTTCTTTGTAGGCCTTCTATCCCTCCCGGTCTTAGTAGAGTGGTTTTATGTAGTAAATGTCCTGTGGGACCCAGTGGTGCAGTCTCCCTGGCCCTCAGAGCCAGGTGTTACAGGTGTTTCCCTTTTGTGCATTGTGTGTGCCCTACTGTTGTAATTGAGACTTGATTGCTGTTTCCACGTCAGTGTCAGAGATTTTCCCTTAGGCCAATCAGTTGTGAGGACTGCTTGTGACTACAGTGGAGGAGCTGTTGTGCAGGGGCTGACCCTGCATAGCAGGGTTTGCTCTATCAGGCCTCTGGTGCCTGCCCAGCCTGCCTTTTGTGTGTGTCATCCTTGGAGATGGCCAGGATCTGCTGTGGTCCACTCTGAAGCTGACCTCTATACCTGCCAGCTCCAGAGCCTCCTGAGAGGGAACCTGCTGCAGGTCAAGTTCAGCTGCAAACTGTGCCCTACCTGGAGCCCCCTGACATAAACCCCAAAGCAATCCCCAGATGGCCTCCACCTGTGCTGTGCGTGAGGTAACTTGAGAGGCCACGCTGCTAACAAAGGCCAGCTGTTGCTAGTGCCAGGCTTAGGGCTGCTCAGTCAAATGCCAGGACATGCTGAAGCCAGATGCTGCTTGTTTGGGTTTTGTGAACTTTTGAGAGATTTTAGGAAAGTCTGCAGCATGAACCCAGGCAGGCCGTTTACACGGAAAAGCCACTGGAAGCAGCTTGAGTATGCCTGAAAGTTGGGTGGGGGGGTGGCCTCAGGGAATCACTGGGGAGGCGAGGCAGGAGACTCAGATATGGCGGCCACTTGTGCCTGCATGCAGGGAAGGGGACGGTTCAACAATGAAACTGTGGCTCTGGCCAGCTCCTCCATCTGGGAGAAAGCTTCCCCTCTCGCCCTCAAACTGGAGCCAGGCAACTCAGTTCCTCCATGTATGTCCCTGGTGCCTTTCCAGCTGCTGCCCCAGCACTGGAGCTCAGAGCAAGTGAGTCCATCAGTGAGTAAGTCCATGCGCGGTCCTTTTAAGAGCAGCGTCTAGGAGTGTAGCACCTCTGCCCACCCCCTACCTCCTCTCAGTCACAATCTCTGCTGGATTTCACAGCCAGAAGTTAAGGGGACTTCTCTCCCTGGCACTGAAACCCTGAGCTGGGGAGGGACTTGGACCCCTTGCTCCTCAGGAGGGGAATCTCCACAATCGAAACATCCCTCCTGATTTTTAATGGTCGTGCATGGGTGTAGGACCAGCCCGTTCCATGTCTGTGCCCCTCTTGCCAGTCTCGAGATGGCTTCTTCTGTATGTCCGTAGTTATAGAGCTTCGGTTTAGCTAGACTGCAGGTGATTCTCAATGATGGTTGTTCTGTGGTTTAGTTGTAATTGATGTGGTCCTGAGAGGAGATGAGCACAGCATTTACCAACCCGGCTATCATGACTGGAAATTATAACAGAATTTGATTTTTAAAAATAAAAAATCAAGCTTCTATTTCTAGATTGAAAGACTGTAAATATTGAGTATCCAAGGACATCACAGAGGAGATAGGAACTGAGGCACATTGAAGACAGAAAAGAATGGAATTAGCAATCATGAGTGGTAGAGGGCTTCAGGGTCCTGGGAGTAATGAGGGCATAGCCCTGGAGGTAGACAGGTGGGAATCTTCCTAGTCCAGTTTTAAATTAGGATGACGTTGGTAAAATACACAGCAGCTTTTTATTTTAGTTTTTTCTATAGTAAAATGTAAATGTTTCAGCTCTTATTTAATAGATGCATTTGATGATAAATCATATTTTGATTACAAAATAGTGTTTGTGCTTTGAAAGGGATACTACCTATGTAAAGATTATTGTAGAAGAGGCCTTAAGGAAGAGAATTTCTTGGATACCCTTGCCCTGAACTTACTTGGCTTATGGTCAAAGATAATCAGATCAATACAAGTGGCTATTCAGTTCTTAACATTCCCATCATAAATTTTCTCATTGTATTATTTCATCTGATGCTCAATAAGTTGTTTTTTTTTAAGATTTTTATTGGGGAATTGGGGGATGGGAACAGTGCTGGGGAATTGGGGGAAGGGGAACAGACAAGTTGCTGTCATTTTGTTCTTCAGTCTAGTTGTGGAGGACGTTGCTTCACTGGCCCAAGTTGGCACCAGCATTGCGCTCTTCCCGGGTGAGGCAGATCAGTCGCTGGCTTCTGGACGGCCACTCACGCTGGCTGCTGGCCACACATGGTAGCCCATGGCAACCCACTGCAGCAGGGGCTTCAGCTTACACCATCGCCGGCAACTCACGGCAGCCCAGCTCCAGGTTGAGCTGTTGTTCAGCATCTTAGCTGTGGAGGGCAGTGTCACTGGCCCTCACATGTGGGATCCGAACCGGGGTCCTCTGGCGTCCCAAGCCAGCTCTTAACCAACTGAGCCACTCGGCCGGCCCTCAATAAGTTTTTATATTCAACTAAAGTTATCTATTTAAATTGGTAAACATGTTTTCTTTTCCTGTGGTTTAGTAAGATGAATTTTGTTGAGATTGGACTTTAAGATTTTTGCCCTTAATAAACAGGGGTTGAACAGGATTTTTTTTTTAAAAACCTGGACTGGCACATTGAAGTCTCAACTATATTATGGTTTAATATAAATATTATCCTAGCTCTGTGGAATATATTGATGGTATACGTCCATTGGTTGCTTTTTTGACACCTTGATGTTTCTACTGTCAGCATCCTATTAAGAGAGAAATTCGAGAGTGTGAAGTGGTAATGGGCCAGGTTTAGGAGTTGAATTGCACTCTGGGGTTTATAACGTGTTCAGCATGCATTTTAAAGCATAATGATACCTGTGGTGATGGGGAGCTGGTCTTGGTCACATGACGCAGATGTGGAGAAGAGTGGGGAGACTTGTAACCCGTCATAGAATGGATCCATCTACAAACCCAGGGCTCATTGCAGAGGCTGTCTGTCTTATAATTCCACTTCGTTAGAGCCTGTTATCATACAAGCTCTGGTTTTCTACCCAGTGTTGAAAAATTAAGTGTGTGTTCCACACATGAGGTGAAATGTGAGGGACGGTGGTGTGGGGGTGACTTTTCACTGGAGGGGCAAGGAGAAGGAGCAGTGGCAGGCTCCAAAGGTCTGCTCTGGCCCCCAAATCAGTGCTTCCCTCATTGTTTGGGCCTCCCCCAACCCCCAAAACAACATGTATTATGGCAAAGTGCTAGGAGTAGAGAATCCGGAGGAACTGTTCAGACCACAGCCTCTGGGGAATTAACATCTGAGGAGTAGGCTTTGTTGGAAGCGATGGCTTATTTTCAGTTATACGTTCCAGAGCTTCTGTCCCTGTAATGTGTTTAGATGAGGAAGTAAAACATCAACAATTATCCCTTATTTCATAAAATATATAAATGCTGTGGCTCATCAAACTTTACCATGGATTCATTTTACTTTGAGAAATTAAATTAGGAAACTTGGCTAACTTGGTAAGAATTTTATCAGATGCCCACCATTGCCCAATATTTACTGCACCGACATAGATTAGATACATATAAAAAGTAAAAATGCAGCGTTATTTATAAATTGTCGTAACTCTAAGCTATCCTATCACTTGGTGGCCATAACTTAAAGTTTTATTACCTAAGTTCTACCATAAATTAAACACATTTTCAAATCATGAGATATTTAAGAGTACCAGGCCACTTCATGACTGACTGTAAGAATCCTTCATGAAGTACAACTACTTAAAATATCAAAGAGAATAAGAGACCTAAAGAAGACTTTCCTATCATTCCAGAGTTATCTGAAGAATACCATGAATGACAAGTTTTGATTTGTGAGAATAAGATTACCTGTATTAACATACAGGTGGGGTCTCTTTGTTGACTGGAAAAAAGACGAAATAATCTATCTTTAAAAAGGGCAAAAGGAGACTGATTTTGAGACAGGTCAGCAGGACAGTGGCCAGGTTTGTAATCTATAAGATGTGTCAGAATGTCGTTGAAAGGCAGTGAGGTGGAGAATATGTTTACTGGAACCCCCCTAGAGGGAGACTAGGGTTTGTAGTTGAAAGGAATCCTTTGATAAGTCACTAGTGGTGTTGGGAGGAAGGGGAGGTGGGGGAGTTAGAAGGGTGGGGAATGTGGTGAAACCACCACACTGGATACTAAGGGACCCTCCATATAGAAGAAGTACAGGGCTTTTCATTACTCTCCCCAAACACACACACACACACACACAATGGGTTGATAATATCAGGAATCGTCATGAGCAGCTTTTTCCCATTCTTCCATAAATCACAAATAAATTTCAAAATGTTTAAATTCTGTACTGAATAAACCTAAATATTAAATACTATTTTAGAAATTATGCCTTTTGGGGGGGGGGTTCAGCTTCAAGTTAAATAGCATCCTTTCCCCAAATACGAACTTAGTAGCTGATGGGTAATTTCATCCAAAATGCATAAAAACAAAAACACAAAACTTCTTGCTTAAATAGTATGTCTAATTTCTTGCAAACTGTTTTTATTATTAGAAACAATATTCTGTCATGTTCAACAGGTATTGTTGAACATAATTCAACAATTATGTTCAATAATACCTGTTGTTGAACAACAGGCATTATTCAGGTATTGTTGTTGTTGAACAACAGGTGTAATTCTTTAGGAACAAGCTTCATTTTATCTTTACAGGGATCACAGGTGACTTACATATGTTCAGAGCCAGAAATCAATTCCAATTCAAATCTGTCTGACCCTGGAGTCCTTGACACTTTGGCATTTTGAATGTATTTCAGGAAACAGCCCTAACTTGGGTACCGCAAACTACAGTTACATTCTACCACATAGTGTGTTAGAGATGATTATTTGTTTCGGTGTTAGCTATGGAAACTAGGTAAATGGGGAAATATACTAAAATATCTCATAGAATCCATGTGACAGAAGGGGCAGGGCACAGTTTTTCAGAAAGAATAGCTGGGTCCAAGATGAAACTTTTTCTCTGCTGTGGCCACTGCTTCTCTCCTCATGTCTCTTTCATTGCCTTCTCTCTCTGAGAATGAGCTTCCTTTGCTTCCCAGTCCACATGGTAGACATGTACATACTGTGTACTGCCCCCTGAAAGTGCTGGTCTCACTAGATTACAAGCCCCCAAAGACAGGGCCTTGTTAAGTCAGTCCTCTTCACCCTCAGGTCCCAATTCTTTACACCGAATATTGGTGAAGATTCAGAGAAATCAGGTCAGTTGTACATTGCTGATGGGTATTTAAAATGATACAGTCACTCTGGAAATTAGTTTGGTAGTTTCTTATAAAACTAAACATGCAGACACCATCTGACCCAACAATTGCTTTCTTGATTTGTAATAGCCAAAAGCTAGAAGAAGCTTAGCAGTCTTTCAACATGTGAACAGTTAAATAAACTAGGACATACATGCCACAAAATGCTACTCAGTAATAAAAAGGAATGACTAAGCTTGCAACAAGTTGGGTGGATTTCAGGAAATTGTGCTGAATGAAAAAAGCTAATGCAAAAAAGTATGTTAAATTTTTTTTTATGGCAAAATTTAGAATTGGAGAACAGAGTATTGGTTGTCAGGGTCAGGGACCTTGGAAAGACATCAGGTGTGTGGGAAGTGGGTGTGAGTATAAAAGGTGAGACAATGGATCCTTGTTGTGTTAAAAGTGTTCAGTATTGTCATCAGGAATATAGTGGTGGGCATGCAAAATTATACAGATGATAAAATTATAGAGAGCTTAATAAACACATATATACACACAAAAAATGATTACAAGCTATACTGAGGAAATCTCAATGAGTTATATGGATTGTATCAATGACAATACCCTGATTATGATTTTATACTACAGTTTTGCAAAATGTTACCATTGGGGGAAGTTGGACGATGTGTACATGGAATACCTCTATATCACTTCTTACATCTTCATGTGAATCAATAATCACCTCAGTTAAAATCTCAACTTAAAATTGAAGGTAACTAAATAAATAGTTGCCCAATAAATGAGTACCTAAAAGAGTCAGGTAAGAATTTCTAGCTGCATGCAAATTTTTAATGACTTATGACTTGCTTTCTTTTTAACTTGTTTATCAATAACTTAAAATCATGTTTAGAATTTCTAGATGCATTCATGACAGCTATGGCAACTAGGGAGGCACACCTTCTTGCAATGCGAGTGGTGTGGATTTAGTATATCTGACTTATAACTTTAGTACCAAGTTCTAAGTTGCCAATTATTGACCATAGGATAAGCTAGAGTTATAACTACTTGAAAGCTAAAGTCACAATTTTTGGTAAATGCTTCCCAGTCTTCACCTGATTTATAAATAACATTCTATGCTGCGACCTCACTTAAAATAGTGTATATAGTTCATGAGCTCTTACAAAATATACTAAGAAGCCATATTGCTCCAACTCTTAAGTACTGCACACCTTATCAAGATCTTTCAAGATAAAAGCATGAGGCTCTGCGATTGAGAACAATGCTCTTGAGATGTGCTTATATTATGGCATATTTTTCCCTTTTACCTAAGAAAAATATTTTTATCCTTTTTCTTCTAGGATCCTTCATAGGCTCATTCCCATTTGAAAAACATAAGGCATCGGGTTTTATATAAACATGGCTACCCACGTTAAAATGTCGATGTACAGATATAACCTCAACTGACAACGTAAATAACTGATTGTACTCTAAGTGCAACCTGGTACATATCCTGCTCTTTAATATATTTTATTTTTTAATAAAAACTGTCTACTGTAAACATACACACAAGATTAGGGGTAATTGCTTGAAGGACATTTCAGATAGTCTACAAATAGACCTAATAATGGAGTCAGATCAACAGAACTGAGTAACTGACCACTACATTTGACAGCGGCCACTGAATACACGTGTGGGCCTGAAAGCTCATGCTTCATTTTAGATGACAATATCTGAAGATCAGTTTCTAATTTAAGATCAACCTTCTGAGATACACCAAAATTAAATTCTAAATGTTTATTTTCTTGTTTTTGTGAATGAATTTCACTTACACTAAAGATGTGTAGGAAGTGAAGCTCATGGTGCTGAGAAAGTGTTGTCTTTTTGTGGGCTTTTCACTTATTTTTGTGTAACTTTAAAAATTTGGAGAATTGCAGTTTTTAAAGTAAAGCATTTTTCTGAAAAAATGCTTGCAGGATCCATTGTTGAAATAAGTATGGTAATTGCCCACACTTCGCATTCTTTAGTAATCTCAGCATTTCTAAATAGCCGGTTTTCTTTCCATGATACCTCATTTCTGTGAAAAATGTGTTAAATTATGTAATGTTAGAAAAAAAGTTCATCTGAATAGCCACATATTTAATACAGAAGCCAGGAAAATTAACTAACTATGCTGCCTTAAGATTTTACTTCCTTCTCCCCAATTGAAATAATTATTTTTGATTCCAGAAAAACTCCTAGAGAGTGTTATATCTTGAGAGAAGGCATTATGAGAAAGGAGAATATTTGCAATCAAGTTTTAGACCTTGAAATATATTTGGATATATACATTAAAGTGTGTCAAAAATGTATGACTTCCTCAAATAAAGCAAACAAGTTTGTTAAGTAAAATGAAAAATGAAATTAAGTGGCTTATTAGAAGGACTTGATTTTTTGTCATTGATTTTAGCTTGGAGTAGCACTAAAAGAAACTCCTGGCAAGAGGAATGATGTAATTATGGAAATGTGCTGATTTCAGAAGTCTTTTGAGTACATTCAAGGATGTGAAACATTGAAGGTGAAATGCTGTTACTGAAGTTTTACTGATCTTTACATGTGAGCTGATCAAAGCCATCAAAATCAAAATCAAAATAATTTTTGAAAAAAGCTGTGATGTCGGAAAGATGGTAAAATGGTGGAGCATAGGGAACTTATATAGAACCATCCTCAGCTATGAAGGGTACATTGAGAGCAGCTCCAGGAATCTGGAGAAGTTACACGCTTAAGATTCTTTATATGTGTATGTGTTCATTTTTCTGCAAACAGTAAGGCATGCGGTGTCAAGAAATTTCAGGATAAAATGATTTTGTCAGTGCTGTATGGAACAGAGCTGTAGAGATGGGCTCACTTTAAAACAACAACACTGTTGGGAGGTGTTTGAAGAACACGCATAAAGTATATGTGTTTATGCAGACGTAAAGAGTACATGTTTATGCAGACAGCTCATTAACAAAACAATGCTGCCATATTATGCTAATAAATAAATAAAATAAAGCTCAAATATTTGTTCAGTCTCTTCAAAAGGATATGTGTATATATATATATACACATACATATATATACATATATATGTGTATATATTTATAATTCAAACTGAAGGCAAGGGCTGATAAAAATACTGGTTTTGATAGCATAAACAGGCACTGTCCATTTTCCAGGTCTTTAGGTCTCTAGCCAGCTAAAGCCAGAGACAGTTTTTGACTTGAAATTTTAGCAGAGATAGTCAAGAAATATTAAGGCTTTGACTGTGCGCCAGGCACACAGGTCATCAAAAAGCCAGATACTTAATTATCAGGCACTAGGACTTTATAACACCTGGGAAGGAAAAAATAATAACAAAGAACAGAAATATAAAATTCACAAACTGAATAATAGAGTTTGCGGGGTAAGGGTGAGTGAAAAATCAAAACATATGTAAGACACTTCTGGGTTTTGAGAAGCCAAAAGTTATCACTGTTTTTCTTCCCCTGTGAGCTGCATGCCAGCTGAAAATAGACCTGGAGTTGGACAGATGGAGAACAAAATTTGAGCTTGATTACTGCTAACCCTGGTTTGGAGGACATGCCCTGTATATGTGGCTACAGTCTGGCTTCCTAATACTTGTCCTCTGAGACAAATGTGCCCATCCCAAACTCCAGGCCTTCCCCAGAAGGGTTACTATAGGGTTGAAACACAGCAGAATGCACTGTCCTACCTAGCTCGGGACTGAACCACATGTGCCAGTTCCTTCTCACTAGCTTATCAATTGCTCCTTTCTTGGTTATAGGGACTAAGGAGGCTGAGAAAAAAAAGTAGGCTTGTCCTTTTGATACCTGGCCCTGCTGAGGATGGGACATGAATTCCATTCCACTGGAAACGTGAAGGGTGGTTGCTTCAGGTTCCCCTCTCTTAGGTACATATAGGAAAACCCGAGTAACATGAGTCAGAACTCTATGAGCCAAATTAGAAGAGAAAGAAATCCAAAAGTGTTCAGCCATGGTCTGTTGGTAGGAGCAGGTAATTTGGAATGCTGAAGTTGGATCTGTGAACGCAAGGCAGGTGATAACCTTTGCTAGTAGAAATTCCCCAAAGGAATAAAGCTGCTATTTTAAATGTAGAAAGACTACCAATGTGAAGGTGAAGGGTGTACAGGGTGTTCTTAGCACAGGGGAAATGCTGAGGGTGCTCAGCAGTTTTATTCTGGGTAGAAAATACAGCTTTGGCTGTTTGCAAGCATGAGCACAGGCAGGCAAGAATTAAAGGAGCAGAGAATATATCTGACATCCAGTGACAATAATAATAATGTGACATGCCTCCAGGGTATTGATAGCTCAGTACAAGCAACATTTGGGGAATATCAGTGTTGAGGTAAATTATGTACAGTGGTCTACATCTCTGTACAAACCCTAGAGCCGAAAGTCTGAACAACCCTCTGGCCTTGGAGCATAGAAATAAAAATTCCCAAGTGAGTATATCTTACTGATACCAAATCAGTACTTAGGTGTATATTTTTATCTCTCTGATTTATTCTATTTCTCAGTTGCAAAAGTGAGTTTGTAAAGCCCTGCAAAACTGAAAATAAAATCTTTATAGTTCCTGCATGGGGTAGGAAGACCTCTAAGAAATGATCCCCCACCTTGTGGCTAGTGAATCAAGCACACACCTGAATACTGTTGGTAAGGGACTTTGGAGATGGAATTAAGGATACTCATCAACTGACCTTAAATAGGAAGATTATCCTGGATCCAGTGTACTCACATTGTCGTTTAAAAGCAGCAGAGGAGGATGGGGTGTCAGTTAGAGACACGCAACAGAAAAAGAGGGGCCTAGGCGACACTCGGCAAAAGCAGGCCGGAGATTCAAGCGTGAGGAGGACTCATCCGCATTTGCTGGCAGGGACGACGGAGGAGAGGCTCTGCAACCCTGGAATGTGGGCAGCCTCCAGAAGATGGCAGCAACCCCAGGCTGAGGGCCAGGGAGAAAATGGAAAACTCAGTCCTACCAGCATGTGGACCTGAATTCTGCTCCTAGAACCTCCAGAACGCAGCACAGCCCTGCTAGCATCTTGTGCGGAGAATCTGCGCTTCCATGTTTTATCAATCCTTCTGAACCACGGAGACAATGAGATAATCAATGGGTGCTGTATAAGCAATTAATTTTGTGGTCCTTTGTCACAGCAGCAACACAGGTTTACTACATTGCAAAAATGCATTTAGAATATTCTCTTAGGTGGGGTCTATTTGTGCTTGTAATCGTGTCCATGATGCTGAACCGAGAGCAGTCCAGCGTGTGGAAAACTGTCACCGGATTTCACACAGCATGCCTTAAAATAGTCGTAAGGGAGTGATTTCTACCGGAGAGTTTTGCCACCAACTATGCTTTCAGGAAGCCTTGTTGGAGTTCTAGTTCATTGCTATTTAGACTTTCAGGTTGTAGATTGGCATTTTAGAAGGATATCCAGGGGTTGTAAGTAGTATGGAAATAAACAAAATGTTGCCTGATTTTAGTCTGCAAGGGTAAGCTGGCTCAGCTGTGTTGCCTCACTCACTGCATCACTTTTATTTTGTTTTACAAGGAGGATGTGAGCTATCCTAGTATTACCTAATTTATCTAGTGTAGTTTTGGAAGTCAATTTGCTTCCCGAGATCGAATAAGGGGAAATTGAAATAAACGATGCACAGCAGTAACAATTCTGCTGTGTGCTGCTTCTGTGAACCAACCAATCATCTGCTTCCCTTTCCCAGAGAAGCAAGCATGGCAGTGTCCCAGATTGTGGATGAAATTTGGAAACATTAGACCCATTGGCATTTAAAGAAAACGAGACAAGATCTTTATAGGAAATAGTTTTCGACATGACATTGGCTTTTAGACCTTGGAGTAGGGGGTAACCTTTGAAGATCCTGTTATAAACTACCAGTTACTGTTTAGCCACTCAGGCCCAAAGATTATTTGTGGTTTGCCCAAGATCAGCCTCATGAGGGTTTCCTTTTTGATATTTTTGCTACTATAATGCTTGCTAAAGTTGTTATACGCACTATCCTAAAAAAAAGAGAAAATAACCACGTTTATATGGTTGGCTCATAAGCAAAATTATGCCTATTTTGGCTGCTGTGGTAAATTTGAATTTTTATGGAATAGCTTCTAAATAGAAGACCCATTAGATGATATCTCTAGATTTTAGCTGTAACTTTCTACTGCTGGAAATCAAGAGAAACCACTTACTTTAGAGACCAGGTGATCTTCCACTTCTTCACCCTAAGGAGAAGCAGGTGTCAGCTGTTTGGGTCATACAGGTTCCAAAGTACATGGTGAATCGTTAACTTAAAGGTTGGGGTAGGCAGAATAATGATCCTCCAAAGATGTGCATGTCCCTGGAAACTGTGAATATATTATATTACATGGTAAAAGGGAAACAGAGTTGCGAGTGGAATTAAAGCTGATAATCAGCTGACCTTATAATACAGAGGTTATCCTGGATGATAAGTGGGTGGGCCTAATGTAAATCCCTGGGACCTTAAGGTAGTCAGAGGCAGATGATGTGACCGGAGAAGAAAGGCATGGAGAGGTGCCTTTTTATGGGCTTTGAAGATGGGAGAAGGAAGCCTCTAGAAGGTGGGAAATGCAAGGAAATGCATTCTTCCCTAGAGCCTTCAGAAAAACACCACCTTGCTGGTACTTTAATTTTATCCCACTGAGACCTGTGTCAGACTTCTGACCTACAAGTAATAAATGTGTCTTGTTTAAAGCCACCAAGTTTGTATAATTTGTAAAAGCAGCAAATAGAAAACTAACCCAGAAGTGAATAGTCTCATATTTATATTAATTTGGTTCTAATCAATTTAAAACATATTTACTTCCATCCCTTCAAAGAACTATATATACCTCCTATCATATCACCCTTTATTTTTTTGTCAATGCTATTTTTATTTTTTTTTAATTTTGTTTATCGGGGTGACATTAGTTAACAAAATTATACCAATTTCAAGTGTACAATTCTGTAATACATCATCTGTATGTTGTACTGTGTGTTCAGCACCCAAAGTCAAGTTTCCTTCCGTCACCATGTAGCTGACCCCCTTTACCCTCTTCTACCTTTCCTTTTCTTTCATTCTACTCTACCCCACTTCTCAAATCTATTTCCATTCAATGATCCTTTGAAATAACTGCACTGGGCATCTGAAATTAGAATGTGCATAGATTTTTTATTTTATTTTATTATGTTACAATGTAGGTTCTCATTCACTTTGGGGTGGGTCCTTGGCTTCTGCATTTGTAACAAGCTGCTGGTCCACAGATCACGCCTTGCTAACCTGAAGTCAGCGAGTTTGGCACAGTGGAACTACCTTCAGCCTATGAGTTGAGTCTTACATAATTATCTCTCTGTATTTTTAAAGAACTGACTAATTGTACGTGTGTATATGTGTGTGTGTATAAAATATTATATATTTATATTATATTATTACATATATAGTGTATATATAAAACAAAGACTTATTTACTTATTTATTTTAAAATACTTGTGTAACCTAGAAACTCTAAAAATTCTGACTTCCATATTGAGGGAATAAAATTTTTGTGAGGTATGTTACAAGTGCCCACGGTGATAGAAAAAAAAAAAAAGGTTTGGGTAGTTTTCCGAATTGTTTATAAACAAACCTTTTTGATAGCTAGTGATTAACCTTTAAAGATAGGTAATGGTACATGAAATGTCTCTTGACTTATACCTTTTTTAATTAACATGCTCCCCAGAATTCAGATTACAAAAATCAACCGAATGTGTGTGCTATTGTGACTAAGTGCAAAGCGCAGCACTTTCACTTTGAATGTTAACACTCATCTTCACACGGAGTCATTTTCTCCGAGGAGAGCTATAGTTAGATGGTGGCGAGAGAATGCATTAACTTCCAGGTAATTCCAAGAGATGACCTAAATAGACCAGTGTACCTCACATTAAGGTTTCCGGCCATCAAAGAGCCTTCTATAAACCGCATGTAAGCCTCCTCCCAGACAAACTAAAGCGGAAGCTCTGGTGGTGGTGGGCCGACGGCATCGGTTTATATGAGTGGAAGTTCTCCGCGTTATCCTAGCAGTCGGTGAGGGCAGGGTGGAGCCTCATTGGTCTGGAAGTACAGCGTGCAGTACAGTGACCACTGGCTACATGTGAATATGGGGCATTTGGCATATGTTGTAGTTTGAATTGAGATGTACTGTAAATACAAAAACAACAGATTTTGAAAGTTTAATGTGAAAAGTAAATGTAAAATATCTCATTAGTCATTTTTACATTGATGACGTGTTGAAATGATAATTTCGATATATTGGGCCAAATAGAATATGTTGTTAAAATATTCTTCTGTTTCTTTTTACTTTTATTAATTTAGCTATTAGAAACTTTAAATTTTTTTTGTGGCTCACACTTGTGGCTTGCCTAATATTTTTATACAGTGCTGGTCTAGAAATCCGTATATTCTTTTTTTCTTAAATTTATTGGGATGACATTGGTCAGTACAATTATATAGGTTTCAAGTGTACATTTCTGTAGCACATCATCTATATATGACATTGTGCGCTCACCACCCAGAGTCAGTTCTCCTTCCATCACCAGATATTTGACCCTCTTTTTCCTCTCCTACCCTCTGCCCTCCCCCCTTATCCTCTGGAAATCACTAAACTGTTGTCTGTGTCTGTGAGTTCTTGATTGTCTTTTTCATTTGTTGCTTTCATTTTTCTTTTAATTTGTTAACCTGCAGAGCATTTCCTCTTCGGCTGTTATCTCACTCTTCCTTTTAATGCAGTTCAACTTCCTAGATTTGGAAACCACCCTTTTGCTACTTTAGTAGAACATAGACAAGTCAGCTATTAAAGACACCTCTAGATTTTTTCTTATAGAACTTTTCTTCCTCCTGTTCCTCAAATAGGAACTCCAAAAACCATGAGGTCATTATGTACGTAACTGGTCATGGTCACTGAGGTTTCCCTCACTACATATCTGAGTATGATACACATCAATATCTAACAAAGACATTTTTGCTGGAGAAATCCTCCCTCCAAAAATAATAATTGAAACAGAGTTTTAAGTACTGGTGAAAGAAAGAATTAGAAAAATATAACCTTTATTTTGGAAAATGATCGTAGATTCAGGTTTTCAAGAGAAACATGGTGATCTGAGATTATTTATACAGTAACTATATGTGCTGTTGCCATTCTCCTGTTTAACTGACTTGCAATGTCTTCTCTATTCTTAACTCCATTCATATTTGTAGAGGAGTGGAAGCTTTTTTGTTTTCATATTTCTACAAAGGACCAAAATTATGTACATATTGGGAGTGTATGTGTGTATATGAGCGTATGAGACACACATGTTGTATTAGTCACAGTTCCCTACAGAAACAGAGTCAATAGGGTTTATGTATCTATATAAATTAAAGCTTTGTTTTAAGGAATTGATTCGTGATTGTGGGGGCTGACAAATCTGAAATTGGCAGGACAGGCTATCAGGCTGGAAACTCAGACAGGATTTCCATGTTGTAATCTTGATGCAGAATTATTTCTTTTTCAAGAACTTCAGTTTTTGCTTTTAAGACTTTCAACTGACTGGAGGAGGCCCACCCACATTATAAGGGCAATCTCCTTTACTTAATTCAACTGACTGTGAATGTTAAGCACATCTGCAAAATAATTTCACAGCAACATCTAAAGGAGTGTTTGACCAAAGAGCTGGCATCATAGCTTAGCCAAGTAGACACATATATATTTGAATCAGTAGGAAAGCTTATAATAGAGTGACTATATTCTGAAGTGATTGAAAGCTTCATATGATAAAGATACCTAAAGGATTGCATATGTTACAGTCTACCATAATCTATACACACATAGGCACACACAGTGAGGAAGGGACGGGATGGAAGAGGAGGGGGAGAGAGAAATAACAAGTCTTCCAGGAGCCAGAGGAATTCAGAATCACAGAAATATGAATTCTACATACTGAATACGTGATTTTATGCGCCCATTTTCTAAAGCATGAAGCCTGTATGAGAATATAATTAAACTCAGTCATGACTGATGTTTATTTTAATAAACTGATATAATACTGTTGGAAGTGATGCCATTAGATGAAATCCAAAAATATGGGTCACTTAGAAGGATTTGTATTAAAATAAGATAAACTTATGATTGAAGTTTACAGGGAAAAATCACATATTTGGGGGTAATTTATCAGTTAGGAAATATAGAATAAAGGCAGGCACTACAGACGATGCCACTTGGGAGTAGATACTCCAGAGGCACAGAAAGTAAGTCCAGTCCAGTGAGGGATGCCCTGTAAGCTTAAGGGAAAACCACATTATGATTTCAGCTCACTAGACAAATCCAAAGTTCTAGCTTCAGATCACTTGTCTCCTCTTTTAAACTTTATGATGAACTTATGTAATGTTCATTGGGCTATGGGATAGCTAATGTATTTATTTGTATATAGTCTTACTATAATAAAATGTCAACAAGTTTCCTCATATATTTGGTCATCTATTAATACATTTAGTGTGTTCAGTTTCCAGCTTTGTATTATTCCCTTGCCATAGTTGGGCATTTCTATTCATTTTGGCATATTCATTTAGCATCATTTATATTTTTAACCCTTTATCCTTACTGATGCTAGATTTTGTAGCAGTGAATATGTTAATAGGTAGATCTGAGCAGTTATGTAATTTTACCCACTACAACGTTAAATTTCCTTATACTCTGGTAATGCTTATTAGAACACATTACAAAATTATTTTCATTAATGCCAATTGCATAAAAATTAATTGGGTGCATAGAGTGGAAGGAAAATATAATGAACCAATTAGTATGCAAATTATTAGCAAAATGAAGCTAAAAGATTTAAAAATGCAATCACTTCATAATTCTTTTGGAGCAAAACTTCATGTTATACACACCCAGCCAGAATCCCATGTATTTTCAATATCATGAAACATGGGAAAAATCAGTATTAGTTTTTAAATTTATGGACACTACCTCTTCCCTGCCTTTTGACTGCAATCTGCTGACATTTAGCAGTATGATCTTTTTCATTGATTAAGTTGTGATGTCATTGTTGCAGTAATGATTAAGGAAGGAAAAAAGAATAGAGCTTAGGAAATGTGAAATTAAGTCCCTTTGCTGATAGTCAGTGACTGTGACTTCATCTCTCTCAGGCTTAAGAAGGTTAATCTATAAAATAGGAAAGAGACCATATTTTCCACACAGTTGTCATTAAATTCAATGTATAATTGTTTTCATGTAATTAATGTTTAATTAGTCATGCCTGTGCTAAGAAATATATCAATGACACATTTGTATTATATTGTTGGCGTAGCATACATACATACATGCATGCGTACACATGTCTTTCTCTCAGACCATTATTTTAAAGAATGTTCCTTATGTCCTGGTGTATAAAAGTATCTATCATATAATTACCTGTGATTTGTATACATTTTCTCAATAATCATAACAATCTCAATGAGATAGGCATTATTCTCCCAATTATTGATGAGGTAACTGATGTTCAAAGATCATAAGCAACCCTAATCCCTCTAAATCACCATCAGGATCCACATGTGAGACTGTGTGAATATGTAGCCTGCGTTGCTGCATCACACAATACCTTGTTTTTCATGTATTCGCTGCCTGTTCCTCTGCAACGTGACATGTGCTTCTACTGCGACATTGACATTATTGAACTAATGCCAATATCTGAAAGATTACCAAATTCAAGTGGTTTTTGTTTTGTTTTTAATCTTATTTTATGTCACAAAACCACTGACCCTGGCAGCCTTTCTCTGCCTTTGCATTCTGCTGTCCCACGTCCGCTTGGCCCTCATCTCTCCGTGATAGTCTCATGAACGTGTGGCATGTTGTGGTAGAAGGGAAATGGACTATGGGCATAGACCTGGAGTAGAATCCAGTAATCTTGGGCAACGCACCTATTTCTGTGCTATCTTTGCTCATCAGTGGATAATAATGACATCTATCTTGCAGGGAGGTCATGAAGATTAAATGGATAACATGTGTAAAGCACCTAACATAGTTCATAGTGTACTTCGCACTGGATGCATTACCTTACTAATTGATTCTTGAGGCTGTGGCCAGGAGATGTATGGGTTTTCTCAAGTTCGTTCATTGAAACTTCTTCTTCCTTTACATTTTATTTTTGTAAAAGTAATCCACCCTCCTGTTTCTAAATGTATTATTCTTGACTGCGCATAACCATTCTGTCCTTATGTGCTAGGGATTCCTCTCCCTTCCTTACTGCCTACTTGACTTTGTATTAGTTTCTGTACTGTTCCTTCATTCCCTGTCAACTTGATACTCTGTTCTCAAAATATTCCTCTTAATGCATACACTTTATCTGAATACACACATTCCGAGTGGCCGGTGACTATTCATTGCTATCCCAAAAAAACCTGAAAGCTATCTATCAAGATATTAAATTTATTTGAGCATCCCTCTGAAATCTAACTACCTTGTAAATGTTGTGTATTTGATCTCTTTCTGAAATCAAACTCATTCTTCAAAGACTAAATTAAATGTTCCCATAACTGAAGAAACTATAGACCCTTCTAAAGAGACGATATCTTCCATTTTACATAATAATACCCTCTTGAAAACGTCCCTGGAACACGTTTCCTAATTTTCCTTTGGCTTTACACAGCACAGGTATGTAAATAGACATGTGCACTCTTAACTCCCATACTATTCACTGAAATGCCTCGATTAGATGTCACATTGTGTTCAATCACCTTTGTATAACTTTCTATATGGATTTTGTTTGTATAAATGATATTTAAAATGTATCAGCAAATTTCTAGAATAATGAAAACATCCAAGCAGCAAAGACAGATAGATTCTTTAACATAAAATACTTTTAAAAAATTCTCTCTAGTGCTCTAATTATTATTTTTCATCTCTGAGAACCACTAGACTTGATCAATACTATGCTTTTTGAATCATGATGCCCCAGCTGTAATCTCTAAAGGGACATACTTTGCTCACTTGTCAACAAAGCTCAATTTTTAGGCATATGAAAGAAATGGTGAAGAACTGAAGAGCAAAACATGACACTTCTGTCTTTCAAATCAAGTATGCATATCTTCAGATCAGTAATCGCCAGCCTAGAGAGCACTAGCATTAGATTTTTGTGAGCCATGCAGTGCTTCTAAATAATTTATAACACAGGAGAACATAAAACTTGAATTAATGCACCCTGCAGTGTTATATGATACACAGCAGATTTTGTCAGCACCATGGAAACAGCCTTGCTTTGAAAGTTCCTTTCAGACTAGAGTTTGAATGAGGCATAGAACTGAAAGAGAAAATAGTTATAGTAATGAAATTCAGAACCCAGAGCTTTATCTCAAAACACTGCCAAGCTAAATACAATGTAAACAGAGATAAAGTGACATGCTTAAGAAGAATAAAGCATAATCTAGAAATAGAAAATAAAACAGAAAAAACATTTGCAGTCATCACATTTCAAACACAGTTGGAGAGATTTGAAATATAGCCCAGCAAAGGAGAAAGCAATCACTGAACCCAGTGTATGACAGGATCGGGGAGTGGGAGTTCAGAGCTCTCTAGAACATTCATTATCATAGTGGAGCTCCGTCAGTGCTTTTCTTGTGAAGCCACTGACACTGAGTTTTCAATCCAGCTACAAAAATATGCAGCAATTTGAGTCATCACAGAAAGGCAGAGACAAAATGCCCCCCTTCCCCCCCCACCCCGCCCCATGTGTGTTATCAACTACGGCAAAGCCTTTAAGACTTCAAGGTTTTTCACATCTTACTGTCTGTGAATGGAAAATGCATTTCTCCAGGAGAGGAAAGCAATCAGACTTACTGTGACCGGCAAGGAATGACCCCTTCCATTCTCCTTCAGACGTCACTGTACCATTCCTTGTGCTTAAGATGGCTTAGGTGTACCTGGAACATAGAGGGTATTTATAGATAATCTGGATAGAATATAGCAGATCCTTAGATACCATTCCTTTATCTGTAGCTTCTCTTTCCAAATAGATGTCCTTCAGCAGGACTTATTTTAAAGAATTAATTTCTTGGACAAATACTCCTGATCTTAACGAAGCACATATAAATATGTGTTAAATATATTTTTTGAAGGAATGTAACACTTTACCCCTAAAATTCGCTTAATAGTCCTCACATTATATTTTGAATTTTTATTCATTCTAAAAGAAAGTAAAAGTAATGAGATTAGCATTTACACAGAGGCAGTGTTTGGAAAAATCTTATTTTTAACATGATTAGCAGACCAAGACTGAACCTGGACAGATAGCTTTATCTGAGGAAACCTCTTGGACAGTTAATAGATCTTAATCTTATATTTGGAACTATTGTTAATATTTTTTCTATGAAAGATTTTTGAAGTGATTTTAAAGCTGATGATAAGATAGAAGTGTTTCTTCTGCAGTATCTTTATGTTAAAATGTTAAAACATTATCAACTACAATAGAAATATGAGAAGGACTTTGCTTCATTGAACATTACAAGGGTATCTATGACAGCCTAGCTCCTTTGCATAGGAGGGGAAATCAATCTAAAAATTCTAGAAAGTCCTTAGAGTCATCTAGCATGTACTACTTATATTGAAAGTGATGAAATTACATATAAGAAAGTTTAGAGACTCACTCATGCTTGCATTGTTAATTGAAGTCATACTTGGTCCTTTCTCAGTGATAAATCAAAATGATGCTAAGTAATTTATTACAAATGTCAGAATATGTATGCATATTATAACACTAATACTTGATATAAACCCATTTTCTTTAAATCCCCTTTCAGATCATATTTTGTTTAATTTCATAATCTTTACCCTTGCTCTTAACCTGAAATTAATATAATAAAATATACAGCAAATAAAAATTGAGTTGAATTTCTTATATTGTTATTTCCAATGACAATATTAAATGTTGATTTTGAATAAGTTCAAAACACCATAAAATTTATAGGGATGCTATCTCCGATTATCTGATACAACATTTAAAATAACTTTGGTATGGGGTTTCAGAATAGGCAACACAAAGAGAAGCTGAGAAACAGGTGCTCATGAGATATGTTAATACACTGCTTCAGACTTATTTTTGAGTAAATAAAATTCACAACACTTAGTAATTCCTGATATAATTCCAACTGCAAAGATCAGAAGGTTAGAGTGTATGAGAATTTAAGATAGATGTTTTTTTTTCTGGGTTAAATGCTGTAATGTCTACTGTACATATTCCAGAAATAAAGATGCATAAAGCCCCACCTGATCTATGGAATAGCAAGAAGGCAAAATGTTCTGATGATCGGGGTCACTGTGGATTTATTTAAGACAATCTGGATATATATATATATATATATATATATATGTATTTGTTATTCAGAACAACCTACTTAGAAACTATTAATATATCTATATCTATATCCATATATATCTATATCTAGGCTCGGTAGATAGGTAGATAGATATAGATAGGTACAGATATATATAGGTAGATGGATAGATAGATACATAGATATATGAAAATAATAAAGAGTAGAGCAAGCATTTGGGACTCTGTGAAGTATTGTTGAATCACTTTAGAAAGGGCATTCTTATAATTAAATAACCAAATAATACTTTTTTCTTAGTCAGATTGGGGCAGTTTCATATTAATTCACAGATCCCAGAACATCCTTCATTCATCTCAATGATATTTAAAAATATATATATATATCTTTAGGCTTTCCATCCAAATAAACAGTTTCATGGTATCTACACCACCTATTCCCAAACTTTAGAACACTTCCAAATAGTATCCCAGCACACCAGCCAGCCAGTGTCTGAACAAACTCTTTGCTTGGCCAACAGTTGTACGAGTTGTGTCCTTCACAAGTCATCTTAGCAAAAGGAAGGCCAGTGGGAGATAAAGTCCATATCTTGTTCTGCTCCCTAAACTTACGATCCTGGTTCAGGGCCATATCCACTAGTAGGATGGAGCAACTCTTTGTAATTTCTTGTCCCAGGAATTGTACCTTAAAAAAAAAAGTGAATACCTTGAGCAATAGCTGCTGTCTCTGAATATTTGCCACTCAGGAATATTTGCAAATACTGAGAAGCTATACAAAGAATGCCATGGCCTTCCTTGATTATTGGGAGATGATCCAATAAGAGACGCTCTTTGGTTATCTTATCATATACACTGTCCTTCCCCAAATTAGAAGACGCCTTGTTTACATTATTTATGATTATTCATTCATTCACCAGATATTCATTGAGAACAAATATTCTGGGTATATCTTGGTGAACAAGCAGATACAATACTGTACACATGGAACATCTATTCATCTGAGTGTAAATAGATAAAGAAAGCTGTACATTATGTTAAAAGCTGGTAAGGGTTATTGAAATAAAAATAGCAAATGAATCGAGATGGAGTGTGCCGGAGTGGGGGTCAGGAAGCAAACACTGAAGTAGATAAGTGATGGATCAGTCTTTGCTGCTGGACTGAGACTAGGGTTTGATTTTTATTCTGAGTGAAAAGCGGAACCATTAATAAATTTTGATCAGATATGTGATAAGATCAAACTTAGTTTTTAAGTAATCACTTTTTAAATAAACAGTCTTTCTGCTGTGTTGATCTAACTCCTATTTTTAAATGATTAAACTTGATACTCTATTTAAATGGAATCATAGGTTGAAGGAAGGAATCCATTATGGCATATATCCAGGAATGACAGGAAATTGGCTTCTGAGAGAAAACACACATAAAATACTCGTATGATTATTGCAGTTGATGTAGGAAATGGAAAAATTTAAAACTCATTTGTAATAAGAACCATTAGCATACTGGGTCTGAAAAAGTAACTTTGTTAACCTGATAAAATATATCTATCAGTAGCAAACATTGCAAATACAATTAATGGGGGGGAACTTAAGTCATATTTTCTTTAAGTAAAAAATAAAACAAGGTTCCCACCAACAATTTTTCTATTGAACATAGTATTAAAGGTACTAGTCAGCACTTTAAGTAAACAAAAATAAACAAATAAAAAATGAAAAGGACTGGGAAAGAAAAATGCTATCACTTGCTGATGATATAATTAGTGCCAGAAAATTCAACAGAATCTGTAGGGAAGCTTTTAAGGTTGATGAAAGAGCTCACCAAATCATTTAGACTAAACCCCACACACAGAAAACATCGTTACTGTAGCATAAAATAAATTTAAAATTCAAATCAAAAGATATTAAATTAGTAAATATAAGGAAATTAGAAATAAAAATGTGCAAGTATCTTGTAGAGATGTATAAAGCACAATTTAAATATAATACAATGTACTGCATTCTCAAATGCTTATGATTTTACTGTCTTAAAAACCTATTCTTGATTTGCTAGGTTCATTCTTATAGTTATTAATAACTATAAACTTATGCACATATTTTCCATATAATTTACTGACTTTGTTCATGTCAAACTTTTATTTATAATACCATTGGTAAAGAATAATAAGATAACAATACGCTTTAAAAGTATTTGTAAGAGGGCCGGCCGAGTGGCTCAGTTGGTTAAGAGCTTTCTCAAGCATGTGAGCTCTGAGCAACAGGGTTGCCGGTTCGATGCTCAGCTCGAGCTGAGCTTCTGCTGAGCTGCCAACAGGTGGCAGGATGGCTCAGCTAAAAAAAAAAAAAGCATTTGTAAGAAGCTAAAACTTAATTCATTGGCTGACATCATAGCCATTATCATGCTAATAAATAATTTTCTATGAATTTCCCTGTTCTGTGGACATTTTAAAGTACTTTGCTTGGATAATTTTTTTTAATTCTCATAAAACTCTATGCCACAGCTCCTACAGGTGAGAAAACAAAGTCAGGAGTGTCAAGTAACTTGCCCATTGTCACATGGTAGGAAGAGGTACATTTGGGATTTCTACTCTGATAATCTGTCTTCAGAGATAAATTCGTGTCTCGTTATCTCATTTATTCTGCATATATATCCCTTTTGTTCATATTGTATGAGGTGTATTCTATTACTAGTTTAACAAATATTTAGTGAATGCATTCTCATATCACTCATTGTTCTTGAATTGGGAATATATAAGCAATAAAGATTTTTAATGCTTTAAGAATTAAATGAACTATCTCAGATGTGTTTACAAGCCAAGGTATTTTAACTTATCTGAATAATCACTTGGTTGGGTTTTTAGAAACCCCATTAAATAAATCCTGTGTGACAACAACAAAAATTATATAACTAACATCATTGAGCATGTATTGTATGCCAGGGAACTGTTCTAATGGCTTTAGATATATAGATATATTATTTATTTGAAACACACACCCATACATGCACACACATGCACACATGTGCACACACGTGCACACACATGTATGACACAATTATCATTATCCCCATTTCCCAGTGAATAATCTGAGGCATAGATATTTTGATAATGTGTCTAAGTTCTCACAATTATGAAGTGACACATTTGGGTAATTGGATTGGACTACAGGTAATCATCAAATATCATTATTTGCAAAATGTAGTTTTTATAATGAAAAATATATTACTTATTTCTTTTATTTTATTTAAGCCATAATAATTAAAAAAATTAAATCTCCTTTTTTTAGTCTACATACTTTTAAAAATATATTTTAAAACAATTGCCTCTATTTTGCTTCTTTATTTTTTTGAAATTGTGGATGGTAAAGATAGTTTTGGATTTGCTTAATTTTAATGCCATTGCTTAACAGCATAAAAAATGGCAACCCTGTTTGTCCCCAAAATATTGTATTTTGTTTCCATTATGTGATTTTACTGGACCATGAAATCCAAGCCTGAGGCTTAAAGATATTGAAGCACCACTTTCTAGTCACAATGTGATTTGATCCTAAAAGTACACATATTATTCTGTGATATTTCT